AAATAGAGGGTTCTAATGTATTTTACTAATTTTGAAAATGTACTCGGAAGTTTCCTAGTTCGAAATTTGATTATTGGAATATTTAATTTTTTGAGATAATAGCCAACTAAGTCATATCGAAATTATCGACTCGATTAAGCTTATAAATTTTAATCAACTACAATCACTACCTATTCCTCATCTCCTTCATGAGAATGCTTGAATGCATCAATCTTTTGTTGAATTTTATTTCTTCTTTGTTTAAGGTTCAAACGATATTTTTTGTACTAATAAAAATAAAAAACAAGCGAGCATCAATAACCATGGTAAGCAAGATTTAAAAAGAGATGTTAAATAGACATACCTTCTTGAAATCCTTGTAATCACCTTTCTTTGCGGTGGGTTTAAATACAGGATCAGCACGGATCTTCGCGTGTGCGTTTTTATAAATTTCTTCTAAATCATCAGCAGAAACACCCTTTTCAACAAATTTAGAGAATTGACGCTTATATTTATCATCATCATCTTCTTGAAGAAGGCGCATATAATCAGCTACATGACCCCCATATATATATTTACGAAGGATTTCGGCATCAAGTGATTTCGATTCAGCGTTATAACCTGGGAACCGATTTTCACTATGAGGAATGAAAATTCCACCATCTGAGGCACCTTTCAACGCTGCGAAGACCTTTGAACCTGTTGATGTACGTTTTAAGCCCACATCTAAGAAAGCCTTGAAAGGACGGGGCGCGTCCTCATCTTCCAATGCCGAAATGGGACAAACTGTACCATCTGGATCGACGACACCTTCATACTTGTCGGCCAAGTTAAGCTTGGTAAGGATTCTACGAGCAGCGAGTAAGCCTGTGGCATACGCTATAAATTGGAATATTAATTAATTTTCATATAATGAGATAGTCACTTAGGAGAAAGGCCATAATCGCAAGTGAAAGGGTATAATATGGCTTCGTTTAGAATTGAAGCGTTTCGTCAGCAGTCATTAAGCACTTATCCTCAAGGTCATGCTTACCAGCTGCCCAATTTGTCAAACCAACACTAATACCGTACTTTGGTAATTCATGCGAATACGCAGCTGTCATAACCTCGTCACCGACTATCTTCGCGTACACAATTTGGACAATCACATCCGTATTAGTAAAACGGACGACCAATCGATATTTCGGTGAATTATACTTATTCTTGGCCTGGATAACAAGCTTTTTACGTGCATAATAATCGGTCTTGCCCTCTATTAAATATATCAAACCAGAGAATAAAAAAGATCATCAATCATTGTTAATGGTTCAAATCTATGCGCATTGAAAAATATATGTGACATTTATAATTTCAGATAGGAGCGAAAGAACAACATGAATAATAAATTCAGATGAACTATATTATCATCAGATTGGGGCCAAAATTTTCAAAGAAAGGCAATTAGGCCATTTTTATTTTCACTTTTTATTTTCATCTATTGTAACATATTCATTGTCAAGCATACCGCGTCTTCTACGATATTTTACTTGATATCGCTTGAAGTAAGCTACGATTTTAAACGAAAAAAAAACCATTAATCTTGGCACAATCACAAACTAATCAGTGTGTTATATATTTACCTTTGTTCTTTACTACTTTGACGAAGGGCTGTGAAGTATCGAAAAAAATTATAATGAAGATAAGAAATTGTAATTAAATGTGACAAATTGACAGATCCTTATTATCTTTTTTTTTGCTGGACGACAAAATTCAAGAGATTTGAATAACTAATATTATCCCACAATGGCATAAATTAAAATAAACGATGAAACCATTTTATTATCGGAAAATATCATGTATTCATTCAATTTTTGAACTACTTCTTAAATGCTTGAATTTTTTTTCCCTTGAAATATAATTTAAACACGCCGTATTATATCGCTGATTATTAGATTCTTGTACTCACCATATGGCGAGGCAGTAGACCTTTGAAAGAGGAAGATCCATCAAAAAGAAAAAAAAAATTCT